AAAATGGTTTGGAATGGTGGAAGATGATCATCATAAAGTGGTAGTGGCTGATGGTGTGGCTTACGTAGCAGGAAAAGCTAGGGCAGGTAGGCTGTCAGTAGACTTTTAAGATCAATCTAAATTAGACCCAGATTCTAGGAGCTCTGTATGACGCGATCCTAATCGACGCATGCCGATCCGAACATCCGGGGGATATCAATTGTCCGTTGGAAGTATTCTATAGCAATCAGGTTCTAAATGATGCTGCTAAGCTGCTCACTCCAGGAGGTATGCTATTTTCTGGTGGACAGAGACAATGGGATTCGCTGACTCAGCACAAGTTTTGACGAATTTGTTCCCCGTCCTTCAAAGGCGGCCACTGTCTGAATCTACAAGGTGTACCGAAAAATAAGCAAACCGTCTCACTTTTCATTACTTCAATTTTTTTCCCGGAAAATTTTTCGCGGATTTTCATGATTCGTTTTCGGAGGGCTTTCATTTACAGTAGACTTACATTGCAAAATTGATAATGGAGTGCACTTCATCATGCAGTGTCAATGAGAAGCAGAGTAATGCCTACATTGCGAATCGGTTACAGCAGAAGATTCAGCAACACTCAAAAACTTTTGAGGGTTTTAAAATCCTCCTCTTGTTCCATCAATATATACTGCACGGTTCGTGAAAAGTTGGATTAGTATAAATCTTTTATTACTATTCCGGGAACTACTTTTAGAGCTTCAATGTTTCAGTTCCTGAAACAAACATAAATACAACAAACTACGTTTCGAACGTACTAAACATGTTCTTGATAGAAGATAAAAGCTAGAAACTCGTTGCAACCTCAGACAGAAAAGAGTACGGTGGTCCCTTCCCGGAACTATTCGGTAAGGAAGGAAGGAGCGTTGACTGTATAAGTTTTGAATTAATCAATTATTTATGGAGTTTTTGCTTCCTTGTGAGATAGCGGATCCTTTTAATGAATTCCTTCCAACAGACTACGGCTGAGTAATGTCCATATTTGGATTTAGAACCCACTTTTGAAGCGATATTTCCTTGTACCCATTTTGAAATACAGGTTTCATAGAGATGAGGATAATCATCGTGCAAAAGTTTGCAAAAGCTTTAAGACAGGAGATTTATGAACGGTCAAGCGAGCACATTATTCGAAAGAACATTCGAGCTTATGCACATCATTGCTGATTTCTTTCTTAAACAATCAGTTTGACATTAACTCCTCGAACAAAGCAATGTAAGTCTCGTTAAAATTGCTTCAACA